AAATGATTTCAGTGTCTTCCACCTTCTCTTTGAAAGTGCGGTGATGAATTCCACCCCATCAGTAAAGTTTCGGTCTGCATAGCTGTGCTGGGGAAGCAGGGTGGAAAGGAAGAAATCCTGTCTGAAAGCACTCGACAAAGGGACCCATCAAGGCAGCTCCCAAAAGGGCTTGTGCCTCTGCAAGCACCTTGAGTGCTGGCAACAACAGCTTCAGTGCTAGATTCGAATACTCTTCTGTTACTAGCTCACCTGGACTGCTCACTCACCTGAGGACTGAGCAATTAGGGCGCATCCCTAGCACCAGCAAAGGCTCCTATCCAACGACAGGACAGTAGGTTTGAAAGGGAAAAATGACTGCAACATTTCTTTCCCGCTATCATTCTTGCCTTCAGGTAAGACTTCCATTTTTAAACGCAAGCCCCAAAAATACTTTTAGAAAAGATCTTTCTACCTGTGAAGTGTGTGCATGTGTCTGTTTCTTTTTAAATAGCCATGGGGTCATTGAAGAAAACGTCTCCTTTGATAAAGTGCAACATAAAAATATTTCTATTCAGCTAAAAATTCGGATTTAGGGGTGAGTCCGAATAGCCACAGTGTTCTTCCAGACAGGGTTCTCCATCTTTTTTCAGGGGTCTTTATCAAGGATTCGTTTGGCAAATGGTGTGACCGAGTTTGACAGGCAGATGGCCAGTGTCTGTGGAGCAGAAAAAGCAACAGCATGGTGAGAGCTGGGAAGTGCTCCCAAGCCTTGTGTCCCCAGAGCGCTGACAGACGTGCTTTTGCATGTGGCTCCGCAATTGGTGCATCAAGATCTAAATGAGGGAGGCCATCCTACACATGGCATAATTTAGACTTTGCTTCTCTACACTGTCCTGGGAAGCAGCGCAGTCTGCTGCTCTAAGGGATTTTAACTTTCATATTCAGGTAGGTGTGCTGATGACTCAGATCTGTAGCGCAGAGGGAGGCAGGGGTGACACGGAGGGCAAGGACCAGGAGTCCACACCTGTACCCTCAAGCCAATGACCCCAGTCTTCTGCTCCCTTGCTCATGTGCAGGCGGCAGCTGCATTCCCTTACCACTGACTGAGGGCTCAGCAACTGTGATGTCATTCTGGGAATCCCATGGTGCTGTCCCTCATGGTCTAGAGGACAAGCTTTGGGTTCCAGTGTAGAAAAGGCAGTGTTCCTCCTCCAAACCCACTCCTGTCTCTCTGTCTTGTGCACTGTCTTCTCTGCACCTCTACAGGGCACTGATGAGAGCCAGAGGATCTGAAAGGTCTTCATTTCTCCCTGGCAGCCTCCTCCCTCCATTCTGGCTGCTATAGTAAAGTGTCAGGACTGGAACTGGACGGCTTATGAAGAACAGAGGAAATAAGTTCATTTCTCATACTTCTGGGGGCTGAAAGTAAGAGATCAAAGCCCCAGCAGATTCAGAGTCTGGTGAGCTTCTTCATTCACAGACTGTCTTCTCTGGTATCCTCAAATACAGGAAGGGAGGAGAGGGCTCTCTCGGGTCTTTTAAAAGGGCACTGATCCCATTTATGAGGGCTCCACCCTCAGGACCTGACCAAGTCCCAGAGGCCACACCTTCAAAGACCACTATCTTAGGAGTCAGGTTTCAACACAGGAGTGTTGCGGGGACACAAGCATTCGGTCCACAGCAGCAGCACTGCCATTTCCCCTGGGGACCCACCTGTCCCCTCAGGCACCATGACACCCGTTGGCAAGCCCGCTGCCCATGCTGACGCCCCTGGGGCACTTGAGGATGTCACTGTTAATCACTGCCAGCTGTGGCAATGCTCTCAGGAAGCTCTCTCCATGTCTCGTGCCACCTCCACCCCAGAAGTGCGAAGGCAGCACGGCCTGCCCTCTAACGCCAACAGAATTCCAGGAAAGCCACATTCCGCCTCACTGAGGGATCTATGCCTGCTTCTCCATAGCGTGTTTGGGTGCTCAGCCAAAAGACGTACTGGAGTGGCTGGCACCCTGCTGCAAGCAGCTCCAGCACCCTTCTATGGTGACTAAGAGCTGATGGTAGGAGTAGGCTTGGTGAGCCTGATTCCTGTTCTCCCTACTGTTCCTGGGCACCTTCTCTCCCAGGAAGCAACTCAAGCCCTTGTAAAAGAATGCAGACCAACCTACCTTACAACTTTACCAAACGTGTCCACTGCCATGGGAACCCATGGAGGCTTATTCTGGAGCAAGTCAGACACACCGCACCGACTCATCCACACGGGCACACCTATGAGAGGAAGAGACATTTTCAGACTGTGAAACTCCATCGTATTTGGAAACAGCGATTCCTCATCAATGTCTTTATTTCCCCCCCACATAACCTCATTCAAGATAAGGCAACAAATGTAAGCACCGGTTTTGTTTTGTTTTTTTTCAGAAAAACCACGTGATTCTTACAAAAGAAGAATGAACCGTCATCTCCTTTTTTGGCAGACCAGAAGACAATGGCAGCTATTTAGTTAAGCACTAGGATCCTATTCCCAGAAGTCACACCCAACACCTGGAGGCAACTGGCATCAAGTCTGAAATCCAGCAACCCTGACCCAGGTGTGCCTTGAGAAAAGTGTGGGGGGAAGACAGCGTGGAGAGCGGTGAGTGAGACTGAGGGACTGCAAGCACTGTACTTCAGTATGCCCTGAGTGGGGAAGAGAAAGCAGGAAGGCGAGTTTTCAAAGAAGTCATATTTTACAGCTCGTTGTGGGTCTGTTTCATCATCACGATGTGTTATTATCATTAGTGTAGTGAAATATGTGGGACTTGGAGTTAAACTGCTTTAAATTCAAATGCTGCCTCTCCCTACTCCTTACTAGCTGTGCCATTTGACCAAGATAATTAACTTCCTTGTGTCTTCACTTCTTCATCTGTAATAGGAATAAACTCTACCTTGCAGAAGAAGCTACTTCGGAGGCATTCATTAAATTAATGTGTGTGCATAGTGGCCAGTCAGCTCATATTAATCACGAAGAATGGCAGCTCTTATCACTACCCATAATGCCACACACTGCTGGATGCTGAGTGCCCTTTAAGCAAGCCAAGTGGGGTGGCAGAGTCCAGCAACCAAGTACACAGCCTTGGAGGCAGACAGACTGAGCAGGAATCCTGGCTCCATCACCTTTATTCTGATTGCCCTGGGATACTGGGCTCAGGCTTGGTTCCCCATTTTTAAAATTCCTCTACCTTGTAGGTTATCATGCAGACGTAAGAAAGAGTCCTGCAGGGTGCTTGCTCACCTCAAGGGTAGTGCTGGTTGCTTCTGCCTACTTCCTTCTTCCGACTGCATAGACTGATGATGTCGTAACCTTTCCATTTCTTGCCTATCTTATAAAACCAACATGATTTGTTGGGTAAATGTTGTGTATATTTTTACAAACACAAATGTGTCACTTTGAATGATGCGTACACTAATAAGTTCAACAAATTTATATAATAACTATCTGAAACTGACAAATTTATGTAATGTCCATCTGGAATTGACAAATTTATATAATATTCTTCTGAAACTGACAAATTTACATGATGTCCATCTGAAATTGACAAATTTATATAATATTCTTCTGAAACTGACAAATTTACATGATGTCCATCTGAAATTGACAAATTTATATAACGTCCATCTGAAATTGATGAATTTATATAATGCTCATCTGAAATTGACAAATTTATATAATGTCCATCTGAAATTGACGAATTTATATAAGGTCCATCTGAAATTGGGGCAATTACAAAACAAGGTCAGGTTGATGCTCAGTGTTGAGTCAAATGCATCCATTTTCCACTAGGTGGCAGACCTTGCTAAAAAGTTATTGGAAAAGACAAGAAAGAAAAAGAAGACAATGAGTCTTCTGAAGCTGACCAATAGGTGTCTCTTTACAACCACATATCCCTGAGCTGTTGCTTAAAACACATGAATTCAACGTTCTCTAGTCTTTCTCATTCATCTTGCAGATACTATGATCAACACTTTCTACAAGGTACACACAGAACACTGAAGAGATGAACAGCTCTTACTTTTCACGATACATTAACCATATGCTATCCAGCCAAAGGGAAGTGAGATCATTCAAACTTCACTGGGAATAAGATTCTGAACACAAGTGACTGGGCAGAAAGCAGATTTCATTAAAATGCTGTTCCCAAGTTAAAGGTTTTCTGTGTGAAGTGATCTTAGGTATTTTCTGATCACATGTGATGGTACTTACCTAGCTTTTAGCATGAGCACTAACTCCAGACAGACGCAGAAGGCTAGTGGCTATCGGCCCACTGAGCATGGCCCTGGGAACACCCAGGAAATAACGGAAACTCCTCAACAGCAGGGGGACATCCTGGCACCACTTTGGCTACTATCACTTTTCCCAGCATTCAGACAGGTGAGTGCTCACGCAAATGCACAGTCACGCTCATATTTGGCCCTGCTGATGTCACCAAGCACATATACTCACGTATGTGAAGCTTGGATGTGAGTGCCATCCGTGCCCTCAGACAAAAGACGTTCTCCTTATTGTGGAGCTCAGAATATTTAAGCAGAATCCCATGCCCACTTTGATAATTTTCTTTTTTACATTAGAAATACTTGTTCCTAAATCATTTTACATACAGGTACGTGTATGTTAAATCCCACAACGTGGCATCACCACTTTGTCATTCAAACTTCAAAGTTATATGCAGTGAATGCTTTGTTTCTATCTAAATAGATTTTTAAATTAGTTGTGTATTATAATATTCTGCAGATATCGCAGCCAAACTGATATTTCATCACTTCATATCTTTCAAGGGATAGGAATATGCATATGAATCGAGGAGCTATAAATCCCCTCCAGAGTGACCCTACCACACACCAAAGTTAGAAAGAGATGTCTTTCGTTTTCGGAGACAGGACGCAGCATAAAGGGGATTTTTCAGCGTCTGCCACAAGCTGGTTTCTTCCAGTGCTAGATTTACTACTCCATTTCCTAAACATGGTAGTCAACACTTGCACCGCTTTTTACACCCCGAAATGCCTAAATGTGTACAAATCTCCATGCAAAATAAAGAAACCCAAGGTGCATTCTCAAACCTCATGGACCTCATTTATTCCCCTACTTGGCAGGACGAGAATGTGTCTTTCATGAAAGAGACTGGCTCCAGGAGAAACTCCACCCATCCAGGGAGCCTGTGGGGAAGGCTGGCCCAGACCTTTCACTTACAGAGTTTTCCACAAGTTATCTTGGTCAGCTTCTCCAGAAAACAGAGGAAATGAGAGCCTGTCAGGTATATCACATCAAATCACAGCATGGCAATTAAGGAATTAGATTATATGGGTGTCTGGGGTGCCAGGCAATCCACAGAGCCCATGCTGTGGAGTCGCCAGTGGGGCTCAAACCTAGGAAGGGTTATTTTTTAAGCCTCACCACGGCCTCCAAAGTTCTTCTTTTCTCTCCACACTACATTAAACTCTCAAGAGCCTAAGGGCAGAGCTTGTGCCTTCCTTATTTTTGTCTTACCTGTGCCCACCGGCTTCACCCTAGCTGGGCTGTGCCCACATGGCTCTAAGAACAAGCCCCATTTATTTGATAGTTATTAAATAATTTCTCACCAACCTAGGACTGAATCCCTAGGTTTTTCCCCCTCAGTCATTGATTTGACTTCTATTGGATTCCAGAATGAAAGCTTTAAAATCGGGTGTAGTCGCCTCCACAAAGATTTCTGTCCCTGGTCGACGACCAAAGCCAGCCCCTCCAGATGAGCCCTCTGGTTGGCAGAAGGAGAAGAAACCTCTGTCTTGTCTTAGCAGAGTCCCAGCAGCTGGCCTTTGGGTGTGGCCTCGACTTCCCTGCTTGCGTTTATACCACGTGGTGCTGGCACCGCATGCCCTCCGCTGTGTCTGAGCAGAGCACCTGTTTCGTCTGACTCACGCCATAGGCGCGCAGACTTGCCCTGCTCTGACAGCAGCCCAGACCTCACACGGGCATCCGTGTGACTCGCTAGCAAGCGGATCTGTGTAACAACATGCCCCATGCACAGACCCGAGCCCCATCCGCCCCTAGCAGTAGGTGTGGCCGCACGCCCCGACGCCGACTGTGAGGGGCACCCTTGCACACCTGCTGATGGGGCTGGGCTGGGTTATGCCTCCCTGATCCAAATTTAACCTTTTTTCATGCATAGTGAATTATTGTTCAACGTTGCAAATGGATTTTTGAATACATATTTTAGTCGATTATCTTGTTTGTCATAAGTACCATCAAATAAATACCAAACGTTGTCTCTAACACTCTCCTCTCTTGTGAATAGATGGTGCAGAGTGAAACAAGCACACAACAACTCATGAGGATTTGTGTTTTCTCAACTGTGCTAGATCTCTAACAAAAATGTGTGTTTCACGGAAGTGGAGTGAAGAGCAAGGAGGACTCCTGCTCTCATAAACCCAGGTGCCTACGTCTGAGCAAACCCTCACATAGAGCAGCAAGCTTAGAAAACTGGCTCTGGCTTTTCCTCGGGGTTCCAGTTTGTGAAGACATCGAAGGTGCGTTCATATTTTCCTGTCTCCTGCCAGTCCAGTTCCCTCGGCAGAAGGATTCCTTTGAATTATTTTCTCTGTTTGACGTTTAAATTAGTGTCTGTTGGAAGAGATAAGAAGAATCATTGAAATTAGCTCAGGAAACGTGTGAGTGCCCCACCTCACACCCCCAGACACACATACGCGCTTGTTTTCCCATTCCAGGATTAAGGAGTTATGCAGCCTGACAATGCAGTTTTCTCTGACAAGTCTTGACATCACCACGGTTATTTTCTTTTTCACTTTTTTCCTCCAGCACCTGTTAGAAACGAAAGCAGGGTGATCTTTATGTGAATTTGCTCTTTCCTTATTCTTTTAGTAGAAGGTAGGGATAAGAGTCTGCAATGGGCAAAGATGCTTTAAAATATGCTCGAAATTTTATATTTAAAATAAATCACCTTATTTTTAGATTGAAGACCACATACAAAAGAAAGGTGTTTTTGTCAGATACTTGTAAGAGTGTCCTTTAATGTGTTTTTAAAGCATTATACAGGAACCTGGCATCCGGAGGTGGATTTTAACGGCTTTATACGGATGAAAATAGCACCAAATAAAAGCAGGGGAATATTTGAAATGAAATAATTGTCTCTAGAGACCCATACACCCTTTTTCCCATAAAAATGCACCGTAGTACATGAAAAGATTAGATCTCTTGTCAAAACGTGAGTGAGAGACGGTCCCATGGTTCCAAATGACAGTTTACCTCTTGCCCCCCGCCAGCGTTCCTTTTTATCTTTGCAGTCTTCCAGTTCTTCCGACCAGCCTGCCTTTAAAGGGCTACAAAGCATTTCTTTCAAGCCACCATAGCTGACGCGGTGACAAGATTACTCAATTTGCACGCGGCCGCGTTGCCCCTGGCTTCGCGGAAGCCCCAGTGGAGTCGCGCACCGCCCTGGCCGCACGCAAGGCTGCAGCCCCCCCCCCGCCCCCCCAGGCCCGGGTCCCAGGGGAGCGCCCGCCGCGCTCACAGGCGCCTTTGTCTTCCCGCTTCCCCCTTCCTTTTTCAAAGGCCAAGAGTTAATTATTTGGTCCCTGCGCAAGGCAAACCTCTCCAAATGCCACTTCCAAATATAGGCTCTCATTAACACCAGAGGCTGGCCTGCTGTGGCGCAGGGCGGCCCTTCCTTCCCTGGCGGACACCGTGTCCCCGCGCGCTGGCGCTGCCCCACATCTGGAGGCCAGGCGGGCCGGGCAGAGACCCCGGCTCCTGCGCCCGTCCTGGCTCCCGAGAGCGCGGGTCGCGGGCGGGGCTCGCCGAGCGCGGTCACCTCTCTCGAAAATACTTAAACACTTTTTGCCCTCTCTCCCGAAATCTCGAAAAACAGCCCATTTGAACCAGAATAATTTAGTCTGACAACAGATTCTTCCTCTGTTCACAGCTGTCCCAGAGGGAGGAGCTGAAATCTGAACCTCTCAGCTGTGATTGGATCTTTCTTGCAAAAGAGAGGAAAAAAAAACCCTCCCAGCCAAAACGGGCTCAGTTCGTAAAGGAGCCGGGCGACTTCAGAGGCGCCGGCCCGTCCGCCTGCCGCACCTGAGCGCGGCCCCTGCCCGAGCCCGACCCGCCGCGATGCTGTAGGGACCGCCGCGTCCTCCCGCCGGACCGTTATCCGCGCCGGCGCCCGCCAGACCCGCTGGCAAGATGCCGCGCTCCTTCCTGGTCAAGAAGCATTTCAACGCCTCCAAAAAGCCAAACTACAGCGAACTGGACACACACACAGGTAAAAAGAGAAAAATATACCTAGAGCTACGTGTCTAGGGCTTTGCAAATGCCAATCTACGTCTTGCTCTTCAAATACCATTACAAAAGAGCCAAAGATCCAGCTGGGGTCCTTTAAAACGGGGTCCCAAAAGGGAGCTTACAGTATTTTGATAATTTGGGGTGCGTTTTAATTCAGAACTTTGTGAACTCTCGACTGACAAGGAGCATTTCATTCAGATCTCGCAGTCTGGTTTGCTGAAGCCTGCGGACACATGCGTAATGAGTATGTGAAGGCAGCAGAAGGCTTCCATTGCTGCGTTTTCTGCGACTAAGTCTCCTTTCCTTTAGAAGGCAGCTTAACGCAGGCACATCTTTGCACTCACGGTCGTAATACACGCAAATCGCCCAGGCGTAAAATGAAAAACAACTTTCTGTGTGTTTAAAATGAATGTGGAGGCTCTCTCCGTCCTCAGTGGGGACGTGAGGCGCTGGCTTGGCTGCGCTCCCTGCCTTCAGAGCACCTACAGCTCCCTGCAGCTGTCAGCCTCGGTGTGCAGTAACTACAGTAACTCCGTCGGTGCCAGGCTGGAAATGAAACACCTTAGCAGAGTGCATGCCCTCCTAAGTGGGTCTGTCTTCTTCCTGAGGAAATCACGTGTGTGTTGCTAAATATCTTTTTACTGTACGTATGAGTGCGTGTGGATTTGTTCTTAGTTATTTTTACCTTAATCTTCTCTCCTCTTTTCTTCCCCAGTGATTATTTCCCCGTATCTCTATGAGAGTTACTCCATGCCTGTCATACCACAACCGGAGATCCTCAGCTCAGGAGCATACAGTCCTATCACCGTGTGGACTACAGCAGCTCCATTCCACGCCCAGCTACCCAATGGCCTCTCTCCGCTTTCCGGATACTCCTCATCTCTGGGGCGAGTGAGTCCCCCTCCTCCATCTGACACCTCCTCCAAGGACCACAGTGGCTCGGAAAGCCCCATTAGTGATGAAGAGGAAAGGCTACAGTCCAAGCTTTCAGACCCCCATGCCATTGAAGCTGAAAAGTTTCAGTGCAATTTATGCAATAAGACCTATTCAACTTTTTCTGGGCTGGCGAAACACAAGCAGCTGCACTGCGATGCCCAGTCTAGAAAATCGTTCAGCTGTAAATACTGTGACAAGGAATATGTGAGCCTGGGCGCCCTGAAGATGCACATTCGGACCCACACATTACCTTGTGTTTGCAAGATCTGCGGCAAGGCGTTTTCCAGACCCTGGTTGCTTCAAGGACATATTAGAACTCACACTGGTAAGAGAAAATCCGTAGACAGGCATGTTACTCTCAGATACAGTGAAGCCCTGGGCTGGCTGTTGGATTTACATGAAGTTGTGACATAGTGCTTTTAATGACGACAGTCACTGATAGCTACTTCCTGACTACTCAGAAAGGTGTTAGGGCACAAATTGCTCCATTTCTTGCTAACAGCCTCTGCTCCAGGGACTGCAAACACCAGGTAGACTTTGGAAAGTAGATTCAGGAGGTTTGGTCTCAAAGATCAGTGAGAAAACCAGGAAGGATGTGCTTGAATGTGTGTTCTGTGAAACTGCCCCCAGTAATCAGCAAATACAAATGTTGCTATCTTAATCAATTGATTTGGTTAATAGATGAAGGCTTTTCCTACAGTTTTCTGTTAGTTACATTCTTGCTCTGATATCTGTCACCCATGGGTGACTTGGATAGTTGAAACTAAATTTATTCCACCTCTCCTGCTTTGTGTGTGGATTTTTTGCTGCTTAATTTCTTATTCCTATCACAGAATGATCCTGCAGGGTGTCATGGCACTTGGACTGCCTTAATCGTAGTACAGAAAGAGAGAAAAGGGGGAAATACTGGGAAATGCTGTGAGGTCCTCAACATTAGCTGCACCTGCTGAAGAAGAACGCAAGTCCAAGAGCTGTGGAATTATTTCTGCATGATTGGCAGCAGTAATAATATTCTGTGTATGGTGTTTTAATGCAACATTCAAATTTATCTTAAAAGGTCAGATACTTTTTAAAGTGTCTATTATGAGGGATTTTAATCAGATTTTGCTGCTTCTCGTTATTTAGGCAAAATGTAATTGACTTTTGTTAACATTATTTAACTTTATGTTTTCTCTAAAAACACTGACTGTCTTTCTTTTTTTCTCCCACTTCACCCCCAGGGGAGAAGCCTTTTTCTTGCCCTCACTGCAACAGAGCATTTGCAGACAGGTCAAACCTGAGGGCTCATCTGCAGACCCACTCTGATGTAAAGAAATACCAGTGCAAAAACTGCTCCAAAACCTTCTCCAGAATGTCTCTCCTGCACAAACATGAGGAATCTGGCTGCTGTGTAGCACACTGAGTGACGCAATCAATGTTTACTCAAACAGAATGCATTTCTTCACTCCGAAGCCAAATGACAAATAAAGTCCAAAGGCATTTTCTCCTGTGCTGACCGACCAAATAATATGTATAGACACACACTCATATGCACACACACACATGCACACATACACACACACACACACACAGAGCTGCAAGAGCATGGAATTCATGTGTTTAAAGATAGTCCTTTCCATGTGAAATTAAAAATTACTATATATTTGCTGATGGCCAGATTGAGAGAATAAAAGACAGTAACCTTTCTCTTCAAAGAAAAAATGTAAAGCACATCGCATCTTTTCTTCCTAAAAAAGAATGCAAAGATTTACATAGATGCCAAATCATTTCAATTGAAAAGAACAGTATTGCAGTATTGCTTTGTAATAGAGTCTGTAATAGGATTTCCCATAGGAAGAGAATCTGCCAGACGCAAACTCAGGTGCCTTAAAATGTATTCCAAGTTTACTCCATGTCTGATGTCTGGTTGCCATTGTTGAACTAAAGCCTTTTTTTGATTACCTGTAGTGCTTTAAAGTGTATTTTCAAAGGGGAGGGAAAAAAGAAAAAGTACAAAACACAGGAGAATGTAGTAGAAGTATTTTTGTTTTGTTTTGTTTTGTTTTTGCCAATTAACAGTATGTGCCTTGGGGGAGGAGGGAAAGATTAGTTTTGAACATTCCTGGCACATGCTCCACGTCTTACTATTCTAAGGAATTTTAACGATTTTCGAAAATTAATTAAAGATGGGAATAGGTGCAAAAGATGATTGTTTCAAATTCATTAATGTACTTAAACTATTTCAAATGCATATCAGAAATGCAATAATACAGTTCCCCTTCTAAGTGCCTTTTTGAATCGTATAGTTGATGAGTCAATGTAAATTTGTGTTTATTTTTATATGATCGAATGAGTTTTGTATGAAACTGAGATGCTGTCTATAGCTATGTCTCTAAACAACCTGAAGACTTGTGAAATCAATGTTTCTTTTTTAAAAAACAATTTTCAAGGTTTTTTTTTTACAATAAACAGTTTTGATTTAAAAACCTCTTGTTTGCATACTATTTCCAGAGGCTTTGCTTGCTGCATAATGAAGACCAAACCACAGTACAAAGAATTGTTTGTTAATAAGAAAAAATGAATAGTGCTTATTACACATCTGGTGTTATTTTTATGTGTTCAATTATAACGAGGTAAGCTACTAGTATTATTTTTACTCTTAAGATCGTGTCACATTTAAAAGAGACATGATATTAGCACACCATTTTAACAAACATCACACTTTCTGACTGCAAAAATAGTTGCATTACTAATAGTCAAAAATAATTTTCAAAATTGTTTATGTTGACTTAGTATATTATGTTTGTTTTATGAAAACAAAAATTACAATCACTTTTATTATTACATAAGCATTATAACGGTTTAGGATTTTTAAAAGAAATATTATGTAAAGTGATATATGAGGGAAAGGAACACAAACTGCAGGAAAAGACCAGGGTAAACAATTTGATACAAATTACACGAGTTGGAAAATTAAGTTATGCAAAGAAAACCCCACATCTGGTGACATATAAAATAAATGGTATGCTTGATAGGAAGAGGTCACTGAACAGTGACAATTGGCTTTTGAGTTATTGGAACAAGTTGGAGAAGCCCTCACCCAAACTTAATGTGTACTGGGTAAATTATAACATGACCATCCATCCATATACACATGCATGTGTACATGCTAAGTAAATGTATGTAGTAA